AACGAAGTTACGGAAAAATCAATTAACAAATGGAGACGTAACAGTATGAACAAACACCACAGAAATAAATCACAATATATTTGATTTGGTATCTAACCTATATAAAATCCAGTGTATGTCATGCCACATCACACTTGATTTCTTGAGATAGGAAGAGTCATAAAGGCCAAAATGCATTTGTTCAGATAGAATAGTTAAATTATTGTCTGCTCTTTACGATTTTAGTGACATCAGTGCAAGGGATACATAAGGGATGGGGTGCTTTGAAACATTATAAGTGTAGTGAGTGTTGGTACAATAAGCCTAAATTAAAGATGTAGTCTGAGATCACCAAGCCTAGAGCCAAGTGCATAAAATTTATCATGAAAGTAAAAATATCGATTCAATTTGAAACTTAAATTGTTTCTGAATTAATCTAGTTTCTGTTATGTCGCCAATGTTTTTAATAAAAAACAAACCTCTTTAATCAATGGAGACTAGTGGTGTAGCAAGATGGGGCAGTCGCCCCCAGGCGTAGGTGTGAAGGGATGCAAAATTTGCTGTGGCCTATAATGCCTATTAATTAATAATTATACCCTCCCCTAGGATATAGCAAAACTTCCCTATGTTAAGTAAATACAACACAGTGTTACATTATTTGTGTGTATTAAGCTTGCAGTTTTAACTTTTAAAAGCCACCCATTGAAATACAGAATTGATGTACAGAAGTAAATTACACTATTCCATCATTCATCTGTAGATCAAGTACAAGTCCTAGAGTACAACGTACAAGTAAGTGTGTGTTCAAGAAAAAGAAAATATGAAATTGATGTAACATATTAACTGGTGTGCAAGATTGGCAATATATGCAACAGGCAAGGCCTAGATCTACTAAACATTATAGGCCTAATGTAGTGGTTTGTAATTGTATTGGCTGATTGTAAATCATGTCTTACACCAACTAATGTACTAGACTTTAGGTCTAATTGCAGTTATAACTTTATTTCTAGACCCTAGGTCCATCATCATACAAATTGTAGCCTATATTATAGGCATACTTAGACCTATACTAACTATTAAACTAGGCATTGCACTGGGACAGATCTAATGACTAAGTTAATAGATTTAGATGTAAGTAACATTTGTTCTAAAAGTTA